TCCGAGGCCGGTAGTCCCCCCCGCCGCCTACCCAGCCCGTTCTCGGAGACCTAGGTGTCCGAGAAAGGGCTGGGTAGGCGGCACAAGGAGGCTTTAAGCGGCGGGGACAGGCTGGGGGGGTGGATCGGGAAGCTTGAAGCCTCCCAGCGCTGCTTACCCAGGTCGTTCCCGGACTTCCAGAAGTCCGGGAACGACCTGGGTAGGCGGCACGGAGAGGCTTCAAGCTCCCCGATCCACCCCCCAGCCTGTCCCCGCCGCTTAAAGGGTAACCGCAGCGGCTACCCCAGCCATGGCCGGACTCTAGGGAGTCCAGCCATGGCTGAGGTAGCCACCATGGGTCAGATCCAAGCCGCGGGGGGAGGGAAAAAACCGGATAATCCGTTCCAGTTGGAACGGATTAACCGGTTTTCAATGCATTTCTATGGGAAATGGTGCTTCCCATAACGATGTTTTCACATAACGTTTTTTTTTCTGGAACCAATTAACATCGTTATGCGAGGCACCACTGTACTGGGTCAGTGCTATAGAGGTTCTTCAGTTTCATTGGTTGAAGAACACAGTGTAAACTTCCATAGTTTGGCAAGAGGCACATAGTTGTTTCCGCTCCTGCACTTATAGCTGCCCGGAATTAGGATGCCAAGAATGTAGTGGTTTTTATTCCTCTTTTCATGGCACTTCTTTGTTGCGGTGGACGATTAAAATTAGGAAAATCAATTTATTTTGAATTTAATAATTTCTTAAACAAGTTTACATAATGATTTGTTACATGCTAAAAGTTATTCGGCTTTCAACTGCATAGAGCCTTCTTGTTACTATAAGATCATAGTCTAAACATTCTGGCCATTTTGCCCCAATTCCTTTTGCACTGCTGAATTATGTCTACTTATGCAAGAGAGATTTGCAAAGATATTGAACATAATCAGCAATTTGAAAGCCAGGGTTGCAATTCTGTTGTTATTCCACTTATTTGGAATCAAGTCGTTTTAAACAAAGTAGGTTTTATTTCCAAATAAGCTCAGGATCAACTGCAACAAGTTTCTGGAAACAAAAGATAGTGATTGCTAAACAAGATAGTGACTGAAGGCTTGTTCCATTTTTTCAATTTCTTTCCTGAAAGTTGCCAGCTCCTATGGAAACCCTTTTGTCACCAGGAAGTCATTGGGGGCTGCAAGACAGGTGTATGTGTCTTAAATTTCTGAAAAATAGCAGTGACTGATAATGTCATCAACCTTATGTGGCATAACACACGAAACAGTGTTTCAACTAGTATTCTTGCATGAAATCAGTGATTAATGTCCATGGTTTTTGTTTGAAGAAAAGCTAAAAATATTGTAGTCTTGAATAGCTGAAGGATATAAAGTAGAGATGAAAGATTAGTCACATAGGCTAAGTAGATCATCCTAGGATGGTAAATAATGGTGTAGAAGTAAATCCAAGCTGTTATACTTTGCAAGTTTTTTGTTTATATATTTGAAAATATTTCTGGTAGTAGGATTGATATAATGTCTGCAGGAAGAATTTGATTTTGGACATGTCATTCCATTGTTGTAGGATCCATACTTTTGCCGCTCTTAATCAAGCTCAAAAGCTACATTTCTTTCTAATAGGCTCTGTGATGTCTGGTGTTTCAATGAATAGTACTGTGGCTGAGAAGAAGCCTGCAAGTATGGAAGCAAATGGTGAGAGCCAACAGCCATTGTCATCCAGTTTCACTCAAAATAAAACGTACAGCTCTGATGTTTACCATAAACAGTTAGCGGCTCTGAACTGTTCCGTGCGTGACTGGATAGTAAAACATGTAAATGCCAATCCGCTTTGTGACCTGACACCGATCTTCCGAGACTATGAGAAGTATTTGGCTGAAATAGAACAACGTGGAATCAGTAGTGACAATAGCTCCGAATATGACAATAACAAGGCAACTGGAGCTCAGCCTGCCTCTGTGTTTGGGAGTGCAAATCTTCAGCAAGGTTCAACATTTTTCTTTAACAACAAATCTGAAGATACATTGGGGAAGAAAACTGAATCAGAAAAGAAAGCAGAACCAAAACTAGAGTCTACATCAACTGTCTCATTCACTTTTAGCAAGAGTCTTGACAACTCTGGTGTGAATTCTGGTCCATTGCCCAGTTTCTCATTCTCTGGAAGTGCAGGATTATTTGGAAAAGATGTAAACCAAGGCAAGATTATTCCTTCATTTTCCAGCAGTGCAATAGATACCCAGGCAGAAAGCGGTGGCACTGAGGATAAAGGTAAATAAATATACTTTAGAAATTGAAAAGAGGATGCAAATCACCTTCCACTGAAATTTCTGATGAGACTTCTACAACATACTGGATTATACCCATCAGCAGTTAAACATTTGCAGTTTTGAAATTTGTAGGGACTACAAGGGGGATTACAATATGGTTAGTGGCAATCATATATCCCTCAGGTGAATGCATGTGTCTGATTGGCTAGGATAAAGAGAGGTCCCTTCTGCGAAATCTGACAGTTTGAAGACAAAATGGCCACTACGGCAGTCCTCTTCCCCTCTACTGAATTCTGCAGTGTATGTCAAGAGTTTGGATTAGGGATCCCTTTTGCCTCTCAGTGTAGAGAGACAGAGAAACTTCCAGAATCTGTTGTTTCATCTTTGTCCCCAAAGCCTGATATAAAGTGAAAAACTGAAAATGTGGCCTTTTTCCAGAATTTTCTTCAGATTCCAGGGATGCTACTGGTGACTATAAGTAAAGGCTGGTTTCCAGGGTCAACAAAATCCTGTGAATGTTTTTGTATTTTACATATTTTGCAATGTATTCTATGCCAGTTAGGAAGAGAGGGGTAAATGCATGGTTGTATGTTATACTCTTTTCAGTGTAAGAGATAGGGCAGCTGTGTAATTATAATTATTTTGCTTTTTGTATTATGGGAAAAATCTGTAAAATTAAATACATGTAAGCCCCATAGAAAGCCATCAAGTTTGCGGGCAGTTAATTTAATAGGAAATGTGATTTAGAAAGGTTATAAGCTATTGTTTTCAAAATATTGAAGGTGTAAAACGAAGAATCTCTTCGCTATTTGCATAAGATTTGTATCACTTGCCACAACTTATTTGTGGCTAATTGTTGAGATGCTAGGGTGTGTCTAACTTGTCTGTCTTGTCACACACCCAGTAGTGCAGCAAGTATGTACCATGGCACGTTGTCAGTTAGCTGTATCAAGTTCCACATGAAAACCATTAGGATTCTAGCCATTGAACTATTATTAGTGTGGGAAATGCACTGTTTAATTAGTGTGAGTTGAAAAGATTATCTGTTATCTAATATTTCTAATTTTGCTTTATCATCAACATGGCTTTGCTTGAAGAATACCTATTTATGAAGAAACTACCAAGACAAAAGTGAAGTTTAATAATCATCTAATCTTTCATGAGCTACTAGTGTATCCTGGTAGATAGAGTGATGGGTTATGACTCAGGAGACCTGGGTTCAAATCCCTGCTTGGCTATAGAAAGTCACCGGAGTAATTGTGCTGTTAAAACCACTTATCACGTACTTTGAAAATCTACCCTGTTGGGGTTACCATAAGTCAAATTCAACTGAAAGTACATAACAAATAAAATATTTTGTTCCTCACAGGGGGTGATGATGAAGAAGAGGAGCCACCAAAAGTAGTCATTAACGAAGTAAAGGAGGAAGATGCCTACTACTCAAAGAAGTGAGCTATGTCCTTTGAAATTGTTATTGTGTTTATGTACTTACTGTACAATAAGTAATTAGGAATGGATTTCTGCATATTTGTGTGTGTGTGTGTGTGTAAGTGAGAATCTTCAGCAGTTTGCTTCAGAAAAAGAGTAGCTTTAACTGCCTTAAGATACTGTTTATCTTTTTTTTCCATACTTAAGCATGTATCTTGACTGATACATTCCACTGCATGTGCTGGTCTTTAGTTTAGGAAAAAGTGTTATGTTGAGCTCCAGATATCTGTTTAGACTTATCCAAGTGCCTATGGTCCTTTTTCTTTTTGTGATAAAACAACGAATGTTGAAAATTCCTTAAATTTCATAGAGTCTGCATATTGCATTGGGCTTCAGAACAACTCTGAAGTCTCTTTATGTTTTTATGCTAGTTGTATTGACGGTTATTTAACTTAAGTGGTAAAGCATCTCAACATGCTATTGGACCATGTTCAAAAGATCACCGGCAATTAACTCTTCATCTGGACAGTTCAGCATATGTTTAAACAATTTGTTTGCATGCTGGTGCAGCAAGTAGGTGAGCCATTTGAGGGATAACCTGTCCCTGTGAAATGTATTTCTGCCTATCTGAACATGTTCTAAACTGCATTTTTTCAGATGCAAAATCTTCTACAAGAAAGATAATGAGTTTAAAGAAAAAGGAGTGGGAACACTACACTTAAAAAACGCTGGCAATGAGAAGACTCAGCTTTTAGTACGAGCAGATACTAATTTGGGTATGTCATATGTCACATTTCTTAGAACTAGCTCTGTAAACTTGCTGTAAACCGCCTCTTCAAAGCCAAAGACTTTTTCCCTTCTAACACTCCAGATGTTTGGCATTTTTTTACAGTTATATCTGTGCATTTGTAGCCCCAAAATTGTTCCCTCAAGTAAGCAGTGTGCAGCTGTGTTCTGATATACCTCCCAAGTAGGATTAGCTGCATTTACTGGTAGAGTACTTTGCAGAGGGTTAATAAGTCTGGAATCTTGATGCAAAACAGCATTGGCATGCACTCTTTTCTTCTGTGGAATATTAGGCCACAGGATTTCAAGAACTTGTGTCTCACTGGTTTTTACATACCTCAATGGAAACAATATAGCTGGAATGTTTTCAGTCGCAGTCTAGCCCGTTTTGGGAAATAGTAGCCGATGTTATTAGAGAATTAGTGAAGGAATTGGCAGATTTTCCATCTTAAAGAATCTCTGGTAGTAAGACAGGGAATGACCTATGCCCTACGGACTGAAAACATTTTTCAAATGCTTGCAAGTATCTCTGTCATACAGAGAAGGGGTGTGATCTGTTCTCAGTCATTCCAGAGTGCAGTACACATAGTAATAGGCTGAAATTACGGGAAGTCAGATTTCAGTTGAATATTAGGAAAACGTCCTAATTGTTAGAGCAGTATGACAATGGAGCCAATTACCTTGGAAGGTGGTGAGCACGCCAATGCTGAAAGCATTCAAGAGAAATTAGACAACTATCTATCAGATACACTTTGATTTGGATTACTGCATTAAGCCAGGGGTTGGACACAGTGACCTTACTGTCTGCCCGCCTTTCAAATATCATAAATCAGAATGAGAGACTTGATCTCAGAATGTGAAAAATAGTAACAGTCCTTATTCCAGTTTTAAAATGAGAATTTTAAAACTAGAATAAAGACTCTTACTATTTTTATACACCCTGAGACCTAGTCTCTCATTCTGATTTCTGACATCACTGGATGTACCAGTTCCTTCAGATGTGTCAGGGGCCCCCATTGAGAATGGCTGCTTTAGGGAGCCACGGTTCCTAATCTTAATCAAAAGTTTATTTCTCCTTTCAGCGAAATCTTACATCTAAGTGGATTACATCCACTACCCACAAATAATTATTGAAAGGAGTGCTGCTGTTTTATAAAGTGGCTTGCCAAAAAAAAAAAAGCGAGATTTCACAGACCTGTAATTTCAAATGTGTTTTCCTGGTTCAGTTGTTAGAAGGACATCTAATGGCGTATGTCACAGCCTAATTATTGCTGAAGGTTAAATGCCTTAGAGCAGTGGTCTCCAACCTTGGACCTCCAGATGTTCTTGGACTTCAACTCCCAGAAATCCTGGACAGCAAAGGTGGTGGTGAAGGTTTCTGGGAGTTGTAGTCCAAGAACATCTGGAGGCCCAAGGTTGGGGACCACTGCCTTAGAGTGTATCTTTCCAAGAAGCTTGGTCATGCATTGTTTAGGAATATTGATAAGTGCAGTGGTCATAGTAAAAAGATGCTTCTGTTAGATAATTGTGTAGTATTTTATGTTCTCTAAAGTAAATGTGAAAATTGGTTGTTGTGGGTTTTTCGGGCTCTTTGGCTGTGTTCTGAAGGTTGTTCTTCCTAATGTTCCTAATAATCTTCCCAACAGAAAACCCTTGACGATCTTTTTTCTTATTCTGTTCTTTATTATTATTATTTTTTATTTAAGTTTCTGCTGTAAAGTTTTAAAATTACATTGTTGTTTTTACTGTAAGCCGCCTAGAGTGGTCGAATATGATCAGATAGGCGGGATAGAAATAAAATAAATAAATAAATAAATGAAAGCATACTCCCAATATTTTTCCTATTTTGGGGGGGGGGTAATATGGGTGATTCATAAAGGCAGTAACATTTTACTAGCAAGAGAAATGAACTGGATGGTAAGGCTGCATATCCTAGCGTTCTGTGATATAAATCAAAAATAGTTTTTCCTGCTTCTCAAGAACCCTCATTATTTGCATACAGTCATGGCCAAAAATCTTGGCACCCTTGCAATTCTGATTTGAGAGAAAAAATTGTGGAAAAACATTGACAATCTCAAGGCTACAAGTCCATCACCAGAGATCTTAATGTTCCTGTGTCCACTGTGCACAATATCATCAAGAGGTTTACGGCCCATGTCACTGTAGCTAACCTCCCTGGAAGTGAATGGAAGAACAGAATTACTGAAAAATTACAATGAATGATTGGTTGAATGGTTGATACAGAACCCAGATTAACTTCCAAACAAATTCAAGCTGATCTGCAGATGCAGGGTATAACAGTGTCAGCTCGCACTATCCGTCACCATCTGAATGAAACGGGACACTATGGTAGGAGACCCAGGAAGACAACACTTCTGACATAAAGGCATAAAAAAGCAAGACTGGCGTGTGACAAAACCACAATCCTTCTGGGAGAATATACTGTGGACAGATAAGACAAAAGTAGAGCTTTTGGGTCAAGGACATCATGGCACTGTTTACACAAAAACGAATGAGGCATTCAAGGAAAAGAACACAGTCCCTACAGTCAAACATGGTGGAGGTTCAAGTATGTTTTGGGGTTGCTTTGCTGCTTCTGGCACTGGATGCCTTGACTGTGTGAACGGTATCATGAAATTTGATGATTACCCAAGAATTTTGGGGTGCAACATAGTGACCAGTGTCAGAAAGCTGCATCTTCACCAGAGGTCATGAGTCTTCCAGCAGGATAATGACCTGAAACACACTTCAAAAAGCACTCAGAAGTGTGGTTACAAAAAAATCACTGGAGAGTTCTGAAATGGCCAGCAATGAGTCCAGATCTGAATCCCATAGAACAGAGGTCCCTAACTGCCAGACTGGGCTGCGGAGACAATCTCCCCCCACTCCCGCATGCACCCACCCACACACAGCCTGTTTGCCCCTGCGCGCACCTGCACCCACATGAGTGCTCCCCCACCCCTTCGCACATGCGCATGAGTGCCACCTGAGCACTGCGCTGCCCTTTGCTGGCACGAGTGCCCCTGCTCCTTTGAGCATGAGCGCCTGCACAAGAATACGCCTGCGCAGGGGGGTGCCCCACCTTCCCCAGCCGGTCTACGGGGCTAAAAAGGTTGGGGACCGCTGCCATAGAACACCTGTGGAGAGATCTCAAAACAGTAGTTGGGAGAAAGCATCCTTCAAATCTGAAGGCTCTGGAGCAGTTTGCAAAAGAAGAGTGGTCCAAAATTCCAATAAGAAGTGTAAGAATTTCATTCACGGTTACAGGAAGCGATTGAGTTCAGTTATTTTTTCCAAACCGGGTGCTACCAAATATCAATTTTATTTATTTATGTATTTATTTATTTATTTATATCATGCCCATTTGGTATATTCTACCACTCTGGGCGGCTTAATCAAGTTAAGGGTGCCAATAATTTGGCCAGTGCATTTTTGGGTTTCTGTGTGGGATTGTATCAGACTTCTGGTTTGTGTGTTGTGTGTGTATGTGTTCCAACACAAGCCAAAGAAATGAACATGTGAGTACCAATACATTTGCAACTGCCAGCTGACATATGCCATCTAGAGTGAAACTGAGAAGCAGATTATGTGAGATTTCTGTAGTTGTTACTTTGCTAGTTTCTGCAAGATACCTTGATAATGTCTGCTATTAAAAGATAATGCATCAAGGTAACATGGCTATAATTGTGTTGTCTTTCATAGTTCCTGAAGAAGGGCACTAAACAAATTGCCAAAATTAATAAAAAGCATTTATTTTATTATTTTATTTGTGCATATTGAATTCCATCTCTCCCTGCTCATTGTATGTATCTCACACAACCTACTTCTGTCACAGTGGTTTTCAAACTGGGGTCCCCAGATGTTCTTGGACTGCAGTTCCCAGAAGCCCTTCACCACTTGATGTGCTGATCAGGATTTCTGGGAGTGCCAGCCCCAAGAACATCTGGTGACCTCAGTTTGAGAACTACTGCTCTATCGTGCTTCATAAATAGTTGTGTTTTGTAAGTGCATTTATCTTGCTATACAATACATTGTAACTTGCTGTTTTTCTAACTCCATTCTCCTGCAGGCAACATATTGCTGAACATTTTGGTGCCACCTAAGATGCCATGCTCAAGAACAGGAAAGAACAACGTTCTTATTGTCTGTGTTCCAAATCCACCCATTGATGAGAAGAATGCCACTGACCCTGTTCCTATCTTGATAAGAGTAAAAACAAGTGAGGATGCAGATGAGTTGCACAAAATTTTGCTGGAGAAAAAGGAGGTCTAACATTAGTCTGTTGAATGTTATGAGGGAAATTTGCCAAACTGCTGCTGCTCATTTTCCCCCCTCTCCTCTTGACTGTACTAGTAACTTTTTAACTCACTCCTCTGACATTCTAAGGACTATCTTAGGAATTTTGAAGGGTTTCCCTGAGGAGGGAAAGAAACTAAGAAGGTCAATAAAAGCTTTAACCTAAACAGAAGTGTCAGTCTTTCCTCCCTTCCAGTTAGAAATGCCTGATGTGTAAACCGTATTTCAGTAAAACTTGCATATCAGAAATTTGGTAGGAAGCAAACGATACAGGTAGGAAGAAGGAATGGACATAAACACCTGGGATTTATTCCAAAGTTTGAAGAAAGATCACTTTCCTCAAGGGGAAATTGCTGTTCAGATTCTGTTGAAAGAAAAATTTACAGCTGAACAGTTACAAGAGAACACTCTAGTCTGCAGGGTTTTTTTTCCTAAAAATAATTGTCACATCATTGTGCTTCAAGGCCAGTTACATAGCTATCTCTCCTATGGGAACAACCAAGATTCCATTATTTTTTCTCTCTCTCATTCCATTGAGAAACAGTTGATGGAGAAGCTTATGGGTCTGTACCCTTTTCTTGGACATGATATAGCTTGTCTCCTGAATTTTTGTCAGAAGATGAGTCTCATGGCACTTCAGTGGTTCTGATCCACCGTGGTTTTCTGCCAAATCCCGTTACAGGGTTTAAGGTTTGAAAATCATGTAAAGTGCCCATTAGTGTTTGGGGGCTTGTGCCAGAGAAATGTGAACTGTTCTATATTCACATGTGCACATGCTTAACAAAATCAGCATTCAGACATTGGGTATCATGCTATGTAAGGCGTCTTACTAGTGTAGTAACTAGCAAAACCACAAGTAGTCCAAAGGGTATGATGGTGCGAAATTTTGAAATATCTGAATCTTTAATATACATTAGTACTTTAACTGGAAAAGAGGTGAAATGCTATAGAACCAGAGTCCATTTTAAATATGAATTGGTGCCTTCCTGTATCAGGTTTAAGGGCTGGACCTCTAGAACAGAAACATACAGTGAAATATCTTGAATTATGTTCCAGCAAGGAATTGTACCGCACAAGCTGTACGGAAATGCAAGCAGTTCCCTGCCAGTGAAGTTGCTACTGGGTTAAACTTCTAGCCTTCAAGTGGGACAGAAACCAGAAATTGTAACTTACACGATATTGTAATACTGTGTTTCCCCGAAAATAGGACAGGGTCTTATATTAATTTTTGCTCCAAAAATGTCTTAGCGCTTATTTTCAGGGGATTTTTTTAAATGTACAACAATTATATTTATGCAAATAGACATGTCATCTTCTGGTTGCTGCACAATGGTGAAGGGTGGGGTTTCACTTAACTAGGGCTTATTTTTGGGGTAGGGCTTACATTACGAGCATCCTGAAAAATCATACTAGGGCTTATTTTCAGGTTAGGTCTTATTTTCGGGGAAGCAGGGTAAATGGAACATACATGCTGAATTCAGTTGTGCAATTAGAGGCTTGTGTTGAACGGTTAAGAGCTTCGTTAAAGCTGCTCGCTTTTGAAGAAAAAGTGTCTTAAAAATCTTGGCAGGTCTATGTACTGTGTCTAAACAGATTCTTTGAAGGCAAATAGCCTGCTTTTTCTTGTAAGCCCATAACTGGTTCTATCCCCACACACATCTCACAGTTTTTACATTAAGACTGTTAACATTACCAATATATTGTGTACATTGCACTTGTTTGATTTCAAAAGTGCAGCTGCGTATGTTTAAAAATTCTCTAATTACAGGGTAAAGAAGTCACATAGCAGTTTATTAAGATATGCTGTGTGTTCTTATATCCTTAGCTGTGTCTTAAATGTGATGCTGTTTCTTTAAGAAATCCAGTGTGTGCACATTGAAACTTCAGAAAGAGAAACGAAACAAACAGAATGGGTGAGTCCTCCCAACATCCATTAAATGTTTGCAAGAGGTGCTCCAAAATCAAGTTTGTTGTCCTAGAAGTCAGTTGATCATGACACATAACAGGATTCTCTAGTCCACAATGCATAATAAGGCAAATCGAACTAATACACTGGTGGCATTTGGGGAAATTAAACATACATTCAAGGTATCGGATATGCCAAAGTAGAGATTTTACTACAGAAATGGTTGGTGGAAGCAAAAGATGCATTAGATGCAATCTAGAGTCTAGACTAGCAGATTTTTTACAGGAATCACATTTTGGCAAGTGGATAAAAACAGATTTCCTAAGAAAGAAGGCCACCTGCTTAGGCTTCATTTATAAGCTGGAAACATGAATCACATGCTTCCCCTGAAATAGGTTAAAAGGTCTGTGTAAAACTGGATTATTGTTAAAATATGCACAAATTATAGCTTTAAATAATTGTATTTAAAAAATTTAATTGCAACAAGCCATTTGGTAAGTGTTGTATAATGAAGGGATGTCACAATATACAAGTCTAATCACTTGTCACCTTCTGGATATGGTGTTTGTAGTCTTAATAGGATTAAGCTGTTCTGTTGTGTGTTCATAAGATTCCCAACTTAATGTACAAAATCATTTTTGCTTTGTAACAGCAGTAGAGAGCTTTAGGTTCATCTGATGACTTGCTAGGTACTGCCTATTTGCACACGCAGTGTCTTCTCTCATTAAGCCTTGGTTTTCTCTGAGATGGTAAGTGTATTTTTCCCATAATACCATCATGTGGGCTTTTTTTAAGGTTTTGAACATTGTTCTCCCCATTCTAAAATATTAAAAAGCTTCATAAGGCATAATTAGTACCAGTAGTAACTTTTAAGGTAAAATATGCTAGCATTTATGGTCCTGGACTTTTGATCCACCAGCCATGGGAGTGAATCCCTCAAGACTTCCTTAAAATTAATTTGAATTTGCCCACTCTTGCTTTAGACCAGTGGTTCCCAACCTTGGGTCTCTAGATGTTCTTGGACTATGTTGGCCAGGATTTCTGGGAGCTGTAATCCAACATCATCTTGGAACCCAAAGTTAGGAACCACTAATGTAGACCGACATGCTCCAGCTTGCTGCTTCCCAGATGTGTTATATTAGATGGCCACGGTGGCTGCAGATGATAGGAGTTGGAAACAGAATATTGAATGTGTCAGTTTGAAGAGGTTCCTGTAGACTACAGGCTGTGGCTCAAGACAGTTTAGTATGATATATATTGAGTCAGAATGGTTGTACAGTGGTGCCTCGCTTAACGGCGATAATTCGCTGTTAAGCGAAAACGTAAAGCGAAAATAAAAAGCCCATTGAAACGCATTGAAAACCATTCAGTGCATTCCAATGGGCTAAAAACTCAGTCCAGCAAAGATCCTCCATACGGCAGCCTGTATAGCGAGGAATCTGTCCCTAAACACAGCGGGGAGCCATTTTAATTACCCGGCGGCCATTTTGAAGCTGCCGATCAGCTGTTAAAAAACATTGTTTTGCGAAGAATCGGTCCCGAAGCAAGTAACCGATCATCGCAAAGCAAAAAAACCCTACTTAGACCATTGTTTTGCGATCGCAAAAACGTCGTGAAGTGGATTCGTCGTAATGTGGGGTAATCGTAAAGCGGGGCACGACTAATCTTTGGTTATAATCTTCTGTCTAGACAAGAATGATGAAGGGCCTAGAATCTTTATTAATAAAAGGAAAACTAGAGCAGAACTGGTGGGGTATATATAGTTGGGGGAGAGTACTATCTTTTTAAAAAATAATTTGAAAGATTTGTTGTCCTACAACTTTTGTGCAGACATTTCATGAAGTAAATGATTTGGGTGCCAGGATATCTGGCTACATTTGCTGTATTTTCAATCTGAATCAAAATATAATCTGGACACCAGTAGCTACGCAAGAAAAATTGAGTTCAGATCATACTTTAGCTTCCTTTTGCAACATCATGTAACCTTTAAAAAACACAAACTCTGAAGACTGTTCTGTTCAAATGCCTTAAATTATTTTTAGCAGAAGTTGCATACCTTAGATGTAATATTTGATATATTTCATAGTGCATGGAAATAATGTATAAAGTTTTAATGAATAGCTGCCTGAACAATCTGTATGAATCTTTCCACTTACTATAACAATAAGATTTGTTTGTTTTCCAGCTGCCCAGAACACCATCTTAACAGAAAGCTGCCTTGTAACTTTTTCTCATGCCATTTGCTAATTGTGCTTTCTGAGGAAATGTACAAATGTCCATGAAAATGTGAATAAACCATTGGGAGATGTTAACTCATTTGTGCATGTTGGCATTCCACCTGCCTTGGTTTGGTTGGACAGACGGTGACATCAGGACATCTGATGTTATGTCAGATTTAGGAAGAGCTACTGTGAAGAATTGCCAGTTCCATGTATGTCTGGCCAGTGTGTGCAATACTGAAGAGGAGAATAGCCAATGTGATATTGCTAAAATAGGCAAGGATTTACCTGCTCCTTAAAGCCTATGCATTTGTGCTAGGGATGTGAAGAAACCTCACCCATGTCTCATTTCTGGTGGATACAGACTGTCAATGATTCTCCAACAATTCTTGCCTCCAGTGCAAGACAGAGATGTGAGCTACCTTTTTTCACCATAGTGGATTTGTACAATTTCTGCAAAACCCAATGTCTTTTTCTTTTTTAAAATTAAGCATGAAAGAGCATGCTCATTGTTTCTACATTTTAAAAGTACATGCAACAACAAAGTAGCATTTATTTTCAATTTGGTGAAGTTTCTTAGCGGTTTGTATCTAGAATGAACTTCCATTTCCATTCCTTTGCCTATATCCTATTTTCCCCCTTTACTAGTTCTGTTAACTTGAGATGATAAATTAAAAATGTCATAACTGTAAAAGACTGACTCAGGCTTACAAGTCTGCCACAGCAAATGGAGGATAATGCCTCTGTAAGTTAGCACTCTGGGTTACATGACAACTGAACATAGTAACTTTTGTTTTGCCTTTAAGTACAGAAATCTTAGGTAGCATAAAGTAGCATTTATTTTAAATTTGGTGAAGTTGCACAAAAAAGAGTCTTGCAAATACTCAAATTTTCTCTAACTTCCAAGGAAGTTGGGGGAGGGGGGCTGTCCCCAACATAGTTTTTGTATACCTGAATGAGAGCTGGCGTGTATTCTGTAATTAATAATCCAGTGGATGGAAAACATCACGTCCCTTTCCTATTCAAATATGCAACCTTTTGGCAACATTGTAATATTTGAACTGTTTACAAAGGTTTGTATGCCTGTTTTTTTAAAACACCACTCTGTTTCTTAGCAGTTTGTATCTAGAATGAACTTCAATTTACATTCCTTTGCCCATTTTCCCCCTTTACTAGTTCTGTTAATTTGAGATGATAAAAATAATGTCATAACTGTAAAAGACTGACTCAGGCTTACAAGTCTGCCACAGCAAATGGAGGATAATGCCCCTGTAAGTTAGCACTCTGGGTCACATGACAACTGAACATAACTTAGTGGACTTTTGTTTTAAGTACAGAAATCATAAGAAGAAGTAGACCATTTTGCTCTGGGGGCAAGACAGGATTAGGGTAAATGAAACAGGGTGTTAAAATTGCATAGAAGTGCAGGTATTAGGTAGAATATCAGGCGGAGATTGGTGAAGTTTCTGCATCTGTTCTAAAACTGCTGTACGGAGGAGGAGGAGGAGTGGTTCTCAGGGTCTGGGAAACCAGCAGGAGGCTGCAGGCTTAATCACTTGTTCCAATGTTGTCTTCAGGAAATGGTTATCTTATGGGGCAGGGAGAGAATGTATTTGGGAAGCAATTGCAATTAATGGTGGGGTTCGCCTGCCAAAATCTAGCAGCAAGTAGGTCTGTCCACCACATGGACAGACATTTCCCTGGCAGGTGTGACATCAGACAGTGAGCATTTTAATGGTCAGCTCTCAGACTGAGACATAATGTGAAGAGAACACAGTGGCAAACCTAGATGACAAATAAATGCACTGAAAAGGCACAGAGCTAAGTGCAGACAAAAGCATGACCAGGGGTCCTGAGCCAGCTTTAATATTGTGAAGTAATGGATGGGAGGGAGGGAGGGAGTCAGGTTAGTAGAAAAATAACTACAATTACCTGAGTCCATGATATTAGATAATGACTTTTATTTATCTACAAAATTCAGAAAATGTAAACTGCTGCCTCTCAGGGTGACACGTCTTCTTTTTCCAATCTTTCAGTCATTTGAACTTGCTTGTCACAAGAAAAAACTAGGTGCATCTTGCAGAAAAAAATGATACAAACATGGCCAGCCTTTAAAAGGAACATAGATTAATTCTAGTTCTCATCAGTTTAATAAGGAACACAAATACAATGAATATTAACACTTCATAGAAAACATTTCATCAAGGGTGTTGAGGAGATGAGTTCCTCTTGAATTTATTTGGTGGCACATGCGTTCAAGTCACCAGGCTGCCTCCAAAATTGATGCTTTAAGGCTACAATCCTATTCACACTTACCTTTGGAAACAGGATTGCACTGAAAGAATAAGAATGAGTGTGTTCTTACTGTTTTACCCTTGGATTACTGGCATGGATATAAACTTAACGGATGTCCAAAAAACACTGTTTCCCCATGCCATATTCTCTCCTCCTCTCCCCTAATGCACTTAATTGATTCAGGGTAGGCAAATAAGCTGCATGACAGTGTGAACAGCTCAGGGAAATGAAATGAAACATTTCAGAAAGAACAGGACAGAAAGAAATATTTGGCATCAGCCCCTTGCTTGATGTTAGATATAGGTTTGCCCTTTGAAAGTAAAGTACACTTTCTCCCACCATAGGTATATAAAAAAAACAGCAAGCTGAAGATTACTTAGTTTCACAGCAAGGCTTACTGTTTGCCTGCCATTTCTTATTTGCAACTACCATTCTAGAAAAGCACCACTTTTAAGAGCCAGGCTACAAGATCAGCAGCATGTAATTTATTTCTGGCATACAGCATGTCAGATAGCAAGTGCAGAATTCACTTATCAAAATACTTCCCCAGTGCTGGAAGCCGTTTCCCCTGCGCACGAGCAGGCCAGAAAGGAAGATCTAGCCAAGCCTTTTGTCCAGGGCATTGGCTTTGTAAATGCACGAAAAGTTTTGGTCTCTTTTCAAGACATGACAAAGAATTCATACATTTCAACTCCACTTCCACTAATCTAGTCCAGGAACAACTACATTAGGCTCTAAATCCTATACATGTTGGACCTATACAAATTAGACACATTAAAATCAGTGGGACTGGTCCAGTTAGGACTCCTGTTAGGTTTAATGCAAAAAAAGTAATCAGATCAAGGTTGTAGAGCCAGGGATCAAAAGGAAAACAGAGTTGCAGCCTGACAAGGACCTCCCTTTTACCACTCCTGATTATGCCCTACATGAGACTGATATGAAAAAAACACAATCCTACCAAAAAAATATACAATGTAAGAATCGGAAAAACAGCAGCCCCATCATTTTCAAAAGAAGGCTTCGTTCCAACCCTTGGCAACAATCCCATAACAGATAACAAGTTATGCCTTTGGGGTAGAGAAAAATAAAGCCTGCATGACAGACTGAACGACGTCATGACATTAGTTCAACAAACAAAAATGTCAGGAAAGGATGGAAAAAATATTCCATTACTTAATTACGTGCCATGCTGGTAATCTCACAACAGACAGCAAGTTCCAACGAATCCAAGAAGCACTGGCTTATTTATGTCCCTGATCTCTGCACTGTTTCTCTGATAATGGGTAGCATTTTGTCCCTTGGCTGCACTGGCTCGCACAGAGCACACCCACACCCACACCCACACCTACACACTACAGAAACGTTCCATTTCTACACTTTCTAGCTGCCAATCAGATTTGTTCAAGCAGATTCTTGCCATGATGTGTGACTTTAAAAAAAGAGAAAATACAGCTTTATCATTCAAGAGGTGGCATTTCAACAAGCAGCTTTCCAGGATGAAGCCAGCGCAGAAAGAGCCTTTACGTGGAGGGTTCTTCACCTGCAGTGAAGGCATGGCTGGCCACGAGTGCCACAACTTGGTGCAACAACCATGCAGAGCAGGACACAGAATGCTGCAGCAGCCCCTGCTCTCATCTTCCCTATTGTGAACCAAGTTAGGGCTATCTGCTTTTTCTTCTCTTGTTCAAGGAGCACACACATACCCATATCTGCAGACTTTGGTGTGGTTCCTCATTCAGACAACTCCACAATATGGGAGGATTCTTGGAGCTGTGAGTCCAAACTCAGAAACCATGCCAAGCTCAACTATTGTGTGTGCAAGCTGTGTTGGCATTTGTTGGGTAACAAAGGTTGCAGAGGGAGCACATATATGTAAAACAGAGCTGCCAAGCTGCTGTGAGGAACAGAGAGGGAATCTGTAACATTCCAAGCACCAATCTAGCACAGGCAAGTCTGAAGTTCAAACAAACCTGAACAAACTTTTGGTTTTGCTTTGAAAGAGCTCATCTGCAAACAGCATGCATGTTCATCAAGCAGTGAAACAACCTCCTAGTCTCAGAACTGTTTTTTTTAAAAGAACTTGATCTACAATCAAACAGTCCACAAACAAGTAACAGCTTTCCTCCAAGTCACAAAATTAATACAACCAAGATCTAGAGGAAGTGACTGCAGTGGCATTTATAGAATACTGATGAAAAGTACCGATTGCAGCAGCTCACTTCACTTTAAGTTCCTGTTCTGTGTAAATGAAGACACTGCAATTGTATCTGAGATCTACTAGATTTTTTGGTACTAGGCCTTGCTTTAAAGTCTTCCTGCTTGTCAGGTGCAGACATATACACTATAGATCTACTGACCATACCAAATTTAGATCAATCACACACTTAGCAAGTAAATTTATTCTAACACCGATCTCACTCTTTCAGACATTTTTGGCTGGGCTTTTTACAGATCTTTGGTAGGCAAAGGCAATTTCACTGTAGAATCAAGTTTGCGCTGCAAGCTTTCCAACTATGCCACAGAGAGAAGTGGGGAAAAGAACATGCCACCTCGTTCCATTTGGACTCTGACATGAAGCCAGGCAGCATTTAGTCTAAATCCTTGACTTTCCTGTGTTGTTATGCTATTCTGCCATCCTGAAACACACAACACAAATTTGTTTTATTATGCAACAAGGAGAGTTTCTCAAGAGTCTATGAAACAAAGTTCATTGGTATATCAGTATGAAATCCTATGGATGTTTCTCTCAAAGTATATAAAGATTAATACATTCTGTACATATTGGTTGGTTTCCAATTATGAAGTAAACACTGTTACAAATTGTCCATAGAGCATTGTCTTTAAACACAGCCCCTACTTTTGTGATGGTGCTTGATTTTTTTGTTTATTGGAAATGTTATGCCAGTCATACCTATAAAGAGGTGTAGTTTTTCTTTTTCTTTTAAGTGAGCATACAGTATTCTAGCAGAGGAACGAAGGAAGAGGCACTTCTTGATTGGCTGGCTGGTAATTCCTAGACATCCCTTTTTTCCATGTAATGTTAAGTTCCTGACACTAGATGGCGATGCTATGACAGAAGACCACTGAACTTAGGTGCTGGGGAGGGTTTTTAGGCACTTGGCAGCAAGTTTTCCAAGGCAGTGCCCAGTTCTCTGCTATGTCATCAGAATCGGTTTCTGCCGCACCTCTAGAATATCTAAACAAACGACAACAAAGATGACAGAATTAAGGATTAGGGTTCCGAGTCATGACTTCATGCGCTAGCTTAATATTGTAAACAAAACCTCAAACTCTTATTAACAAGACTGATGCAGTTGAACTCCAGATCCTCTTCACCTTCCTCACAGTCTGTGGTGCACCAAGATGCCTTGATTGCTAAAAGCCTAAATTACGTTAGTATAGGTACTAAACACATACACATGCATTAGCACAAACTTCAAATTTGAAGTACATCAAATGCACCCCTGGAACGGTTAAAGTACTTCCACATTGCCATAGAACTTAAAATGTGGTGCCCGGCTTTCCCAATATACTTTGGTTACCAAGGGAAAACTGAATGGGAAGAACAGATCTACCTCTTCCGAGGGTTTTGCCTGTTTTACAGGTAAAAGCCCAGTGTTTCCATTTGTCATGAGGCTGGTGAGTCAGGGAAGAAAATGGAATCTGCCTGATACGCCCAGAGAGGAGGAGTCCAACACGCAGGTGAAAATCACTTTATTCTTCTTCGTCTCCAGAACACTGGTCATCACTGCTGCCATGAGGAATCTGATCCAACTCCAAAATGTAGGTTGCAAATACATGGAATCGCCTATCTCTGGGTCATGGCCACTTAGTGAGCGGCCTGCCTTGTCCTGCCATGGGCAGAGAGAAATTTCAACCCCCATGATGTCTGATCAGATATCTTATATGTTGTGCTGGTGGCCTGGGGAGCTGCGACAGCACCACTGACAGCACCACTTCTCTCTCTCACTGGGACCATGTAGGACGCCTTGGGCCATGAAAGAGATGTCACTCTTTCAGAAATCAAGATGAGAATGGTGTGAGAGAAGCCACCTCACAGGGCTTTCCCTTCCACAATCCTGGGACTGGTGAAGTTACCCTGAAGGGGAGGGAAGGAGCTGCAAGCTATCATGAACAATGTGCTCTTACAGAGAATGGCTAACCACTTCAAAGCACGGTTCTACAAGAACTAAGCGTTGCAGTGTCTTCACAATGTTACTGCCGATGTACCAAACTGCATTTCCTTTTTTTTACATATGCACAAATAAATTGGAAGACTTAAGGGAACCAATTTTCTGATAACTCTCATTTGAGATGCAACGTGGGCTGTTGCCACTGGAAACGTCTCCTGCACAACCCCTTGCCTACGACATGGGAGGTCTTCTTCCATAGCTGCCACCATTCACTTTGCAGTGAGATATGTGTAGAGCAAACTCGGGGAGAACTTTAGAATTCCCCGATCCCCAAATGCAGACTGCTTCACCTGTTAAGATCCGATGCAATGGCAATGTGACGTAGGTTAAGTGTGCATAGAGTAGGAAGTTTTCATCTGTCCTGTTCAGCTTCAGCCAAGAGCCCACAAGAGATCTTCCTGTTCCAGATAAAGACCGAGACCGGAGGTTGCTCGCATTGTGCAGGTCTGTTAGATAAGAACAAGATTGTAGGGAGAGGGACACGTTATCACTACCCACACAATGAACATACCAGCTGCCTTCCTGGATCAAACCAGTAAGTTGATTTTGTCCAGCACTGAATTTCCCAACAGCCACCCAGATGTTCCTATAAACAAACAGGCAAATTATGGACATCTTACCTGGACTTCTTTTGTCACCAGCTCTCTTGGCTCCGTCACTATCCTGAACTTTGAACATGGAGGTTCCTACTAGTTACTAGTGCTTTTATTTATTTATTTATTTACTTATTTATTTAGCTTATATGCCGCCCACTCTACCCAAAGGTCTCTGGGCAACTTACAACAATTAAAATACAATTAAAATAGTATTTTATGAAAGTACCTGCTTTCCACCTAAGCCTAGAATAATTATTTTCATGGACCACAAGTCCCAGACCTCTTAGTCAGCCTAGCCATGCTGGCTAGGGGATTCTGGGAGTTGCAGTACAAAAAATAATTCTTCTAATCTCTCCCTTACACAAGATCAGGCCAGTAATCCATTTAGCCCCTAATAATTATATGCTTTCAGGCTGATTCCAAATGATGATGACCCATTCCAAGTTTTTCTAGGTATAAAATACTTTGACATTTTTTATTGTTCCCTTCTTCTGGGCCCATGTGGTTTGCCCAAGATCACATGGGCTGATGTTTCTCCAACTTACTGAGACAGGTAGGGGAAAATAAAAGCTTCCAGATGTTGTTGGATTACCACTGCCACATTTCCCAACGGTGGCTTTGCTGGCCAGGCCTGAGAGAAGCTGCAGTCCTACAGCATCTGGAGCTGGACCTTGCTCACCAGTGGTTTAGCCCAATACTGTCTCCTCAGCAGTTCTCCAAGATTTCAGGCAAAGGTCTCATCCAGCTCTGCGTCCCATGATTCTGGAGACAGTAAGGCTCAACACAGAGCTTGCTGCACTAAATGAGTGCTCAAGCCCCGGGTCTGACCTAAAGAAGACTCCATGGAAAAGGAAGTGGTGGCTCTCCACAGCCATGAAGTTTATCATACCAGTTCAGACTCAAATGGCTTCAGTAACATGCCCAAAAGCTTTCCCACTAAAAGCTCTTGGCAAGTAGGAAACGGGAAGGGTGGAAAGAAAAGACGCTTATCCTACCTCCTCCTATTCACTTTGGCTTGTTCTATATTCACAAAGGGACATGAGGAAGTATTCAAAGATGTGACATTTTGTGCAATCTTAAATAATAACCTTATTCTGTATTCCATGTAGCTCCAGTCTATTTATCTACTGTCTAGATCAGTTACTCCCTTACAGTAACGTGCCAATTTTACAAGATGGCCCATCATCATAGCTGTAGTGTCTTCCACAGACTTCATACTTATAGGTACCACTGTCTGGCAATCAACTACAAGTCCCCAGACACATGGGCCAAACTGGTGGTTTGAAATAGGCAAGTATATCTAACTTTAGCCAGCAAAATCCTGCAAAGGACCTGAATGCTTGTCCCCAATGTGACTGCTATCCTACTCCCGCTTCTTTCTGCTTTTTTCCAGGGGTTGGAGACTGTTAGAATCCAAGCATTATTTAGCCACTTCTCCATACCCTAGCAGCCATTTTTCAGTCCAAGTTACCCCCGTCCCCAAATTATCCCATATCACCTTGACTGAATATGAAGGTGTCTAGATTACTTCCTTTGTATGCTTACTGTTTTCAACTTTTAAATATTTTCTTTAAATGATGAAAGCCATCTTGGGTCTTTCTTAAGGAAAAAGGTGTGGTAAAAATTTTGTTGGTTTGTTTAAATTTGCTTGCTGGCTGAGCAGTTCCAGTATCTTTTTTCCCCGATTTTATTGTCATTTAAAATTTTTTTAGTATCATTAATTGTAATTACTATTTTTAACTGAAATGTTCTGAACTTATTTTACTGAATTCTGTGATATCATTAAGATGATGATGAATGTAATTATGTTTTAATAATCAGATTTACAATGTATTTTGTTTAATTGTATTTGTTTTCCTTAATTATACTGTAAATTCTCTCAGGGAGAAAGACAAGATATGAATCAAATCAAGTCAACCAGTCAATCATACTGGTTCACCTTTGGGGTGAAAGATAATTCATACATTTCAAAAATGAAATAAATAACTCATCACCCACCTCCATCATCATCATCCCTAAAGAACTCCTCACTGTCATTGGCAGAATGAGATTTCTTCATTTCCGCAATTCGATTCCGGGGCACTTTCCTCTTGAGAGAAGGGGAGAAAAAGGACGGGCGGTTGTTGCGTTCTGGAGTTGGGGGAGTACTGAAAGAAGTGACCTGTGAAGGGTAGAAGGAGCAAAGTAGAAGGGCTTTAGGAAGGAAGAATTTAAACCGTTGTATGGCTTGTTCTCCTTGGCGACTGCAGATCTTGGACTATCATGGCCATGTGGGAAATCTATGAAACTGTTGCCCAAAATGAATGAACTCTTATTAATTGATGACTGACACTACAATTCGTTTTGTATATCATTAAATTATCACCTGGCATCAATGAGAGTCCAAATGATGTTTATACAAAGGCTTCCTGCGCAGAGGACATGGAAATATATTTTAAAAACCAATTTTTGTGCATCTGGGATCCAAACGGTGACACACAAACTTGCATTTATGAATACTGACAATTTTTTTCAGCATGCTTAATCAGTACAGAATATTTTAGCCCAGAGATATCTATGAATCAAGTCACCCATCCCCAAAAGATATTTTATGTTGCTCTTGACACTCCTGCCCCATTTGAAGAGTTGTGAAGGTCTGGTTAGAGGCTTCCTACTAGTTTTGCTGCAAAGATTTTCGCTACAATTGTATGGAGACTAGATTGTGCCATCATACAAAATGGAGGCTCCCATAATGCCACACTCTAATTTTGAGGGTCACTTGGGAGAAAACAGAGCTTTAACAATCTTGTTTGATTAACTTACTCTCTCATGCAGAGGCGAGTTTGGGTTAGAATCCTCTTCAGTACCATAGGGAGAAGTGTCACCTGTCGAAACACGACTCACTGCCATTTCTGCATGGCCTTTCCCCTGCGGCCCCTTCATACGCACAAATTCCATATTGTTGTACTTATAAAACCCAAAGGACATCCTTTGTGCCATTTTTGCTGCAACGCTTACCTGTGACGGACAGTAAAAACATTAGACATTTAGGTAAAAGTGACTTCAACTATTTGGACTTCTTTCTAGCCAGTTTGCCTTGGTTGCCCATTGTGTACCAAGTCAATATTCTTCAAATATTCTCATACTGACAAACTATCCACTTGCAACGTTTTAATCACAGCTTGCTGCACCTAATCTTGGAGATCACTGACCTAGCCATGGTGACGTATGCCTTAGTTAAATTTACTGGGATTACTGTAAAGCGCCATACGTGGGATTTCCTTAGTAAAGTTTACAGACACTTTACAATGTTCAAGATGCCACTGCTGCCAGATTGTTAGCTGGAGCTGGTTATAGGTAACACACAGCTCCCCTCTTGAAACCATTCCACTGGGTGCCATTCTATTTCTAGGCACAATTCAAAATGTTGGATTTGATTTATAAAGCACTAAATGACTTGGGTTCAAGCTACCTGAAAGGCTACATTTCCTTTTATGAGTCTGTCTGGGTTCTGAAATCATCAGTTGCTTTCTTTGACTCCAGCTCCCACAATTCTCTTAACCCGCTTAGCCATAGGTCAGAATCCTCCGATGTCAGAATGAGGTCACAATCTGGTCTGTATCTCTGCAAACTGAGAGCAGTTAACATTCAGGCTGAGCTTTCATCAGGTCAGGATGGATCTTCCTGTTAGGTCAAATTGAGGATTGAAGGTGGGCTTTATGACCTGTTTACAGCTATGATGTCATAGTGGATAGAGCGTCAGGCAGGAATTCGGGAGGCCTTCAGCGAGGAACCTAGAGGAGTGAGGAGGACCTTAAAAATATCTTTATTCTGAAAAGCTTCAAGGCCCCCTTGTACTAATAGTCAACTACCCATTTTCTTTAAAGATGCTCCTGAAATTATTCATTACTGAGTATCAATTCAGCTATTGATAGGGAAAATATGTCCTGTGACTAAGGGTGTCACACTTCAGGTAATGAGTGATCCCCAGGGTTTGGGATCTGTGTCTTTGCTTTTCTACTGGACGCAGACTTTCGGGTCACGCTAAAGGTTTCTTTGGGTATTGTTGCGAAGGCTGGTTGTGGAGCCAGAGGTTAGGAGATGGATTTTCCTTCAGGGAGGAAGAGCCCGCCTGAATCGCATTGGGCAAGCTCATCACATGCCAAGCAGGGCTTGATAAAGTTGCTTTATTTGACTGCAGCTCCCACAATTCTAACCAGCCTAGCCATAGGTCAGAATCTTCTGATGTCAGAATGAGGTCACAATCTGTATCTCTGCAAGCTGAGAGGCAGTTAACAGTCAGGCTGAGCCTTCATCTGGTCAGGATGGCTCTTCCTGTTAGGTCAAGTTGTGGGTTGAAGGTGGGTTATATGACCTGTTTACAGCTATGGTGTCATAGTGAATAGAGTGTCAGGCAGGAATTCAGGAGGCCTTCAGTGAGGAACCTAGAGAAGTGGATAGGAGCTTAAAATATAACTTTATACTGAAAGGATTCAAGGCCCCCATGTACTAATAGTCAGCTACCCATTTTCTTTAAAGATTCGCCTGAAATTATTAAAAGCTGAGTGTCAATTAAGCTTTTGATAGGGAAAATATGTCCTGTGACTAAGGGTGTCACACTTCAGGTAATGAGTGATCCCCAGGGTTTGGGATCTGTGTCTCTGCTTTTCTACTGGACGCAGGCTTTCAGGTGACGCTAAAGGTTTCTTTGGGTATTGTTGCGAAGGCTG